TGACCAACAGCAGTGCCTGTCCCAGTGGCCACTGCATCACTGCTTGTCTCCCTGCATCCCCCTTCGGGCAGCACGTACAGGCCCTGGCAGGCAGAGCTCCAGCAGCCCGTCCTGCACCACATAGATGCTGGCATCTGGCTGGCCTGGCCGGAAGACGTAGTCACCCTGGCTGAGCCGCTGGAAGATCATGTGCCGGCAGAGCTCTAGGAAGAGCGGCTTCTCGAAGTGGCCCAGCACCCTGTGGGAGGGGAGGAGGAATGCAGGTCAGATCAGCACCCGGCTCTGCAGCCCCAGCCGGCACTCCGACACTGACCGGACGTTCTTCAGCATGTAGAGCACCTCGGAGGGCAGGTGGGAGTTGGCCAGGTCGCCCTCGGTCAGGTCAGCCTCCAGCACGGCCGGCGGGGGCTCCTTCCGCTGCAGTGTTGGGGTCTCTTTCTGGATGCGGAGGATCCTGGTGGGAGGAGAAAGGTATGGGGGCGAGCAGGGAGAAGGCACGGGCAGACCTGAGATCCCCATATACCCTTTTTCCTGAGTCAGAGAACAGGGATCAGCAAATTCTGGCCTACTGGCCAAATCAGGCCCCCCATTTCTTTTTTGTACGTAAAGTTTTAGTGGCACATAGGTACATTCATTCATTCATGTCCAGGTTGTCTGGCTATTTTCATGCTACAACAGAGTTGAATAGTTATAGCAGAGTTGTATGTGGCCTGCACAGCCTAAGATGCTTACTACCTGGCCCCTATACAGAAAGCCCTGAGCTCACTCCTCCACTAGTCATAGGCCCCTGAAATGGACCCTCTAGTTAGACCCTGGCATAGCTTCTAAGACACGGGCAGACTTTAGAAAAAACACCTGTTCGTCATGGGACCCCTGACATAGTCCTTCCAGCAATCACACACCAGACTCCTGAGATAGCCCTTCTAGTGTAGGCAGACCCCTGGCGTAACTTCCATTATATGAGGAGACTTCAGATACAGCCGCTCTGTTCTTTATAAGGTCCCTGAGCTAATCCTTCCTCCCAGGTCTCAGAGAGCCCTGAGACAGCGCTCATTACATGTGGAGAATCCAGGCACAGCCTCTGCTGTTCATAGGCCTGGAGAGCCCTTCCCCGCACGTCAGTTACTCTGACAGCCTCCACACTGGTCACAAGATGCCTGAGATAGACCCTCCAGTGTGAGCAATTCTGAGTTAAACCCCATGATATAGAGAAATCCAGACAGAGCGCCTCATCTGAACAGGGAGACCCCTGGGCTAGCCCTTCCCCAGGTCAGGTTCCTGAGATAGCCCTCTGATGGTCATGACAACATCAGGGCAGACACTGAGATGTGGAGACTCGAGATACGGTGTCTGATCATGGAGAACTAGAGACAGCCCTCGCAAGCCACAGAAAGTCATGTGATCGGACATGTTGGTCATGGACAGCCCTGGGACAGACAGACCTTCATATCTCATGAAGTGGATTCCATGATGGTAGGAGACCCCAGAGCCAGCTCGCAACTTAACAAGATCCCCGGAAGAGCCTTCCTCAGACCCCGAGGGCGTCCTTGCTAATGACAGGCACCCCAAAATGTCCTTCCTATGTTTCTCGTGCAAAAAGACTCTAGAGATAACTCCCAGGGAACGCAATCCCTGACACAGCCTCCTTATGAGGGAAGAACTCCAAGGTAGGTGACATGGAGAGAAGTTTTCTGAGGTAGCAAGACTGCTCAGATACCCGGGAGCACAGAGCCTACAGACAGCTCTTCCAGCTGAGATAACCCCAATGCGCACCCTTGTGTGGGGAGACCCATGAAACGGCCTACCTAGAAACCCCAGATAGAGACCCCACAAGGTGCCAGAGATACTGGCGGAAGAGCAAATAGCTCATAGATAACCTCTAGGGAGAGGCGTCGCTGGCAGGGGAGTATCTCTGAGAGAGCCTAGGGGGCCAGCCTGTCTGGTGAGGCAGCTCAGGGATGGCCTCGCTGATGTGAAGACTCCCGACAGCCCACGGGGTAGAAAGAAACTCGAGATACATGGGCTGATCACTCAAACGGCCCCTAAGGTCGCCCCGGAGCCAGGGGCACTCCGCACAGCCTTACTTCTTGGCAATGTTCAGCATCTTGAGTTTCTTCTTCATGCGCGGCCTGGAAGCGGCGGAGACGGAGGTGTCCACCAGGGAGGAAGTGGACTGCGACACCTAGCATAATTAAGGGGAAGGCAGTCAGCTGCTAGCTCAGGCCCTGGGGGCGAGGGGTGTCAGATGCTTAAGTCCTTAACCAAGGAGGAGGGTTTACAGGAGTTGTGACTAAGTGAAGGGCAGGGCTTCTGCGTGGCCAGCGGGAGCCTGTTGGTCCTGGACTCACCTTCCGCATAATCTTCCGGCCATAGAAAAGCACTTTGTCCCTCTTCCGGAATCGGTACCGCGGGCCCTCCGGGGCGGGGGTTTCTAGGATCAGGGGAGAGGGGCACTCAGCTCTGCGCAGACGCCACGCGGCCAGAGAGGGGACCCTGCGTGCAGACCCTAGCCAGTCCAATCCCGCCTGCCTCCGGAACCGGCACTTCAGCTCCCCACAACGCAGCCTCCCCAGGGGGGCCCGCGGGGTCCTCACTCGGCACTCGAAGCCTCCGCACTAGCAGGAGGATGAGCACGGCAGTGACCAGCACGGCGACTCCGGCCCCGATCATCACGCCCAGCACCTGCGGGACGAATGGCACTGGCTGCGCATCGCAAACCCGCCCCGCCGAGCCCTCCCCGGGGGCCAGGACGTCCTGGACCCCATCCCACTGCGCTACGTCCACACCCGAGACGTTCACAGCGGCCCCTGTCTTCTGCGTCTCCATCTGCAGAATGGGACAGCGCGACTCCCCCCCCAGGGCGGGGGTAGGAGGCGGCGCGACTCTTCCCGGCGGCTCTGCCGTCCGCGCGCGGTGCACGCCGGGAAATATAGTTCCGCCTGAACAGACATTGCCCAGTTCTTGCGGGACGCGCTGAGCACGTCGGGAGTTGTAGTCCCCGCGGAGCCTCGCACCCTCGGAGCTTTACCATTCTTGCATGCAGAGGGGCCTCCACCAGCTGTTTCTGGCGGGTCGACAGGTTTGGTAGCCCAGAGTCCTGGGAATCAAGAAGCAGGAGGAACCCGTCACTCTGGGCCCGCCCCTCCCCTGCCACAAGCCCTGCCCCTTCGTACCCGCAGTCTGGGTGGGGGAGAGCTAGAGGGGCGCGCCGAGGGGTGGGGCAAATTGACCTCGGGTCGGGCTAGGGAGTGAGGCGTGTCTCCGGTCCCGCCTGGCTCTCTTCACTTAGCACCTGGGCCGACCAGCCGCTCTACCGGTCCAACCCCCACCCTAGGGCCAAAGGGCTGCCGCCGGGCACCCGCTATGCGCAGCCAACGCCCGGGTTCCCCAAGGGCACTGCTCCTTCACGCCGGCCTCTACCCTACGGGATTAATCAATCCTGATTACCCCACACACACCCCCACCCCCGCGAAAACTAGAGCCTAAGCTAAGGGGTAGGGGAAGATGCCTGGCTCCTGGCTCAAGCCTGCCCCGGGGAAGACCCAGAGGCTGGGGCGCCTGGGGGTGCTACTGGGAGCTCCTACCCAAGGGTGAAGCATAGTAACCTCCATCAGGTAAAAACTGCTGTTTAAAAATTTAACCCTGCTATTCTGGCTTCTGTAAACGTTTTCTTGCTTAAATAATAGGGAAAATAAGACTACTCCCCACTCCAGAGAGGCCATAAAGCCTGCCCCAGAGTTGTCAGTACTGGCGCCAGGCCAGGCCTTGAGATAGGGTCTCACTGCCCTGTCTCAGCAAACACGACTTTTTCTCGGAAGGTCCAGAAGTCTAGTTCCAAATTTGGAAAACAAAGAGCTGAAAAACATATAAATAAGGGAGACTTCCACCATATTGGGCCCCAGAATTTGAGAAGCAAGAGTTCCTCTGGGCCCGCTAGTGCTGGCGAAAATGACCAGGACTCCAAATAAATTGGGCTTGTTGTTGAAGGCGTCTTCTGATTTACAATATAACGAGGGGTCTTGGACGGTGCTGAGGTCTTGGAAGGGTCCTGGGGCTCTGGGAGTAAGTGGGATCCCGGACGTTACTGGCTGATGCTGGAGATCTACTGTCACGTGATAGTAAACAGAGCATCCCTGGGACTCGATGCTGGGGACGCCGGGATTACTGGGGACAGTGAAAAATCACCGAGATTCTGAGGACAGAACTATTACTGGGAAACCCGGGAGCTAGTGCGCAGTCCCTGGGTCGTTCGGGGTCGAGCGCGCCGGCTCCTTGGCAGATACGAGGAATGCTGGACTATTACTGCGACTTTTCCGAGAGGCTGTGAATGCTTCTGGCTTCGCTAGAGCATTAATGGGAGTTTAAGGTAATTGGACTCTTGAGACATTACCTTGAAAATTCAGGGCGGGGTAGGTGGATGGGACTAGTCCCCTCCCACTTTAGGGAACACCTGGCTCCCAGTGCGGAAACACCTGCCGGAAACCGGGGAATGAGCATCAGAAAGTCGGGGGCGTCCATTAGTCGGCGGAGGACTGATCTTGGGAAAGCCGAGGACTCGCTCACAACCCCCGAAGGCGGGGATGGAAACCCGGACTCACCCGGAGGCCGCAGCCGGGATGCACTCTGCCAACGCCGCTGGAGTCGCCCCCCCAGCGCGGCCCCTTTAAGTTATTCTCCGAAGGCGCTCGAAGCCCCGCCCCGCCCCGCCGCTGGGAAGGCCGCGGAGCCAGGCCGAGTGTGGCGACGCCTTAAAGGGGCTGGAAGATCAACTAAAGGACTTGTATGCATGCATATAAGCATAACCAATGGACATAAGACACTGGGGGATAGGGGAGGCTAGGGGACTGTCTAGGGCGGGGGGATAAAATGGACACATATGTAATACCCTTTGTAATACTTTAAGCAATAAATTAAAAAAAAAATAACGAAGAAAAAAAAAAAGGGGGCTGGAGACGAGGGGCTCTTGGAATGCCCCTCCCGCTAGAAATGGGACCACCACGTGTATTTTCCCTTTTTATTTAACACCCACCCTATGCTTGTCCGACCCAGTGGCCCACGCCTGCACAGGGTGCGAGAGCCAGTCCTAAAAGCCACCCCTAAAAACGGCCAGCCCGGCTCTCTGCGGTCCGCGGTCCGCGGTCCCGGGTCCGGGTCAGTTCACCAGCAGCGGTCGCTCCTCCGAGGCGTCCCTGGAGGAGGGCAGTGTCAGGGGGCGGGCAGGCGGCAGTTCCCCGGCAGCCCTCCCCGTTCCCGGGGGATCCAACCTGCTCCTGCTCCGGCCGGAGCAGCACAGGCTGCAGGCCGAGCCGCTCCCGCGGCGGAACTTGCCGGAGGTGGGGCTGTCCTGGCACTGCGCGATGTAGGCCTGCAGCTCGCTGGGCTCCACGCCCGTGCTGCCCGGGTGCTGCGGAGAGATGCGGGTGGCCGCCGTGCAAGGGGCTCCTTGGATCTTCCCTCCCCCACCACCTCCCCCGCCATCTGGGTCTCCTCTCTGTCCCGAGCGGCTCCCACCTCTGGGCCCTTGTGATTCCAGGAAGAGCTCCCTGACTCCTGGATGCGTGGGATGTGCGACCCCGCACCTGGGCCAGGTGGCGCCCATCTACTCCTCAGTGGGTGGACGCCGCAGCTTTCAGCGAGCCCAGCCTTTGCCCTCCGCCTCGGGAGGGAGCCACCATCCCTTCCCCAAGTTCTTTCTGGCTACGCGGCCTTTGCTCCAGGTGCCCCTTCCCCCTGGTGCTCCCTCTCTTGGGATCCCACCTCTCAATCTAGAACTTCCTGATATGACGGAAAGGTTTGATTCTAGGGTGTTCAATCAGGAAGCCGCTAGCCACATGGGCTCCTGGGCACTTGATGTGTGGATGGTGTGAGTGAGGAACTGAATTTTGGAATTGTATTTCATTTTAATGAAAGTCAAAATTTAAATAGTCCCATGAGGTTAGAGGCTCGTATTGAACAGCACATTCTAGAGACTTTCCTTGCTTCCTAGCTCTCACAGGCAGTGATCACACTCCTGCTCATGCATTATCCGTCTTGCCCACTGGCTCTGGGCAGCCTGCGTACACCTCACCTTGTTTCCTAGAGGCCTGGCCCAGCACAGGGCTTGGCTCACAATAGGCCCTTGGACGCGTTGGCTACAAGAATCCTGCCTACCTGCCACCCGCACATTCTGCTCTGCCCCATTCTCTCCTCTAACCCCCACTGTCTGCCCCCACAGGACAGAGGGTGAGGAGCAAGGCTTCCTGGTGGAGCCTGGTTTCACCCCTCAGTTGCTGACCTTGGTAAGTCACTGAAACTCTGCGGCCTGGTGTCCCTGTTGGTAAAAGCCGACTCGAGACCCTACCTGGCCGGAGCTCACCTGATCAAACTGAGAAGGTGGCAGGTAAGCCATGACATCAGTCCCACCTGTGACCCCTAATTTCCAGCCACCACTTCCTTTGGCTTTGCAGAGTCTCCCATATTCTCTCCCTGGGTCCTTCTCTCCTCACCCCGCCATGTCCTCTGAGACCCCCCCGTGGGGGCTTCCAAGGGACACGGAGCCCTGGTTAGAGCTGTGTGTGATGGGGCTGGCCCCATGGGGCGGCTCGCTGGAGGGGAGGCGCGGCTGACCTTGATGGCGTCATAGGCACCAGTGATGAGCGCGATGAAGAGGCTCAGCACCATGTAGATGAAGAGGCTGATGAAGGAGTAAAGGTAGATCTGGGAGAAGAGCCAGACGAGGCTGCTGCGGCCCTGCTGCGTCTGCATCGCCGCAAACGTCACAAACATGTCATCCCCATTGATGAGCGAGAACAGGCACTCCGACACCATGGACAGCGAGCGGAACTGTGGCCAGGCAGTGAAGTCAGTGGGATTGTAGGGAGGGGGCTGGGCGGGGGGACCGGGAGTCAGAGGGGACAGCAGAGTACTAGTAGTTACAATGGGGCCACCTGGGGCTCACTATGCAATGACAGTGCCCTAGAGTCAAGGCCAGGGTTACCAGGGGTCAGAGGGACAGTGGGCAGAATATCAGCAGTTACAATGGGGTCATTTAGAGTCGTCATGTCAATAAGGTCATAAGGCCAGAGTCAGTGGGTAGAGCCGCTGCAGACCTCTTGGTAAAGTACAGAGGGTCACGCAGTGTGTCCAGGTCAGTGAGAGTTAAACCAGGGGCCGAGGGCTTGGGACGTAGGCTCGGAGGAAGGGAGCCAGAGAACCTTCACCTGTGGGCCATGCACCCCCACAGCCCTGCTGGTCCCTACCTTCACGTGATAGGGCCCCAACACGATCCAGCCACAGAAGCAGTAGCCCAGGTAGATGACAGCCACACAGCAGCAGAAGCGCATGACGCTGGGCAGGGCCACCCGCAGTGTGGCGATGAGGATCTGCAACGGGCAGATGGCTGATGAGGGCATGGCCACAACCCTGGTCGTCAGTGCACACGGGCGAAGCGGGCAGGGCCTGGCTTAGGGCATAGCTGGGGAGCTGAGAAGGGGGAGTCTGGAGCTGAGGGCCAGGCTCACATGGTCCCTGCTCAGATTCAGTGACAGGCACGTCTGGGTGGACAGGTATATGGCTAAAAGACTCATGACGGGTCCTCTGCAGGGGCTGGTGACTGCGCATGAGTATGAATTTGGGAGGTGGGACCTGGGGGATGTGTGGCTGCCAACCGGAGGGAGGGCCCAGCCTGCACCCAGGCTCACATTGTACTTGTGGAAGAAGGTCAGGTAGCGGATGACGCCGACCCAGACGAGCAGCGTCGAGGTGCCCAGGAGGATGCTGCAGACATCGTAGCTGGCCAGGTTCTAGGAGTGGGAGCAGTGTCAACCACATCTGGCTGGGGAATGTGGCCCCAGGTGGGCATTGGTGGGGGCAGTATAGGGGCCAAGGTCTGGAAGGGGCTGCTGTGGCCCCGGGCAAGGTGTGGGCAGGACCCACCTTAGCTTCAATGCCGATCTTCATGATGGTGCCCGAGATGGTGAGCACATCGCTGGTGACCAGCAGGATGTACCAGCCGTTAACAAATTCCAGCCGCTCCCACAGGCTGATGGCCCGTCCCCGCTGCCGCCACATGAACCCCACAAACTCCTGCAGGAGGCAGGCGGGGTGAGGGCTTTTCCAGGCATGGGAGCCTCCTGCCACCCACAGCCCTTCTGGCCCCAGAACTGGGCAAGGCCGGTTTGGGCACATGTGACGCTGGGATGGCTCTCACATTCTGCAGCAGGAAGCCACGGAGCAGGGAGCGGGCACACAGCAGGAAGGAGAAGGAGCAGGTGAGGATCACTACCACGTCAAACAGCAGCCGGAAGCTGTTGTCTCCTGTGAGGAGAGGCCTTGGGTAGAGCCGGGGTAGCCTGGGGCCTTGGGAGGCCAGGGCTGGGGCCGGGCCAGGCCAAGGGGACTGCAGGGCCGGTCTGGGCTGGTCAGGGGGCTCATGGCTATCCTGAGTTAGAAGCTCAGTCAGTGTGGGTCTGAGGTTCAGGGATCCCTCGGTAGGTCAGGGTCCCTGGTTGATGCTGGTCTGGGGTGTTGAAATCCCTGGTCTAGGGTTTGAGGACTCACCATGCCTGAAGACACTGGGGTGCTTACACTCCTGGATGTGGACCTGGGTCTCCAGGCTGATGGGGACGCGCCCGCTGAATGCCTTATTGTCAAACGTGATCTGTGTGGGATACAGAGTGAGCCTGGACAGGCCTGGGCGCCCAGACCTGCATGAAGGATGGTCTGTCTAGCTCCAGGCTCTCAGCACCCACATGCGGCCCTTGGCCACGGGTCCCTAGCCCTGGAGCTCAGAAGTCCTGCTCCCCACCCCAGATCACGGCTGGGTCCATGCTCTTACTCGGGACACTGCGGGCTCACCAGGATGCTGAAGGTGTAGCAGTCGGGGATCTCATTGTTGATCAGGCTTTGAAGGTTGATGGTCTTCAGCTGGAAGTGGATGGTGACGTTGATCAGCCTGAGGGGAGGGTTCTGGTGAGGGGGAGGGAGCTCCACAGCTCCCTGAGGCCCTAGAGTGCCAACACTCCTGCCCGATGCTGACTCTGCAGCTGGCAGAGGGAAGTGATCACTCAGCAGGCATCCGCCTGGCCCGCCCTGCCCCCACCTTCAGGGAAGTGGCTGCCAGGGGGGCTCCAAGGACACCTGGCCTCCTGCCTCCCCCCACCCTCTGCCCAGCCCCTGGCGACCCCCTCCATCGGGCAGTACTTGTGGAATTTGAGCGTGAGGTTCTTGTAACTGGCGCTGCCATCCAAGAGAGAGAAGTCATCACTGGGGGGCACAAAGGGTCTCTCAGGAGGGTCCACCCGAATGCAATCTGAGGACAGGGAGTCAGGGAACGGGCACAGGATAGAGGAGGCACAGGCAAGTCTCCCAGAGTCCCTGGGAGACCCCTGCCCTCATTCACTTTGTACTTGAGCATTTGTTGTTTGTCCCCCATTTCCCTGGGGTAGGGCCCAGTATGTCTATTCCCTGAACAGACACTAGGGCCTGGAGCTCTGTAGGCCCTAACTCAGCCGTGGGCAAACTACGGCCCGCGGGCCGAATCCAGCCCGTTTGAAATGAATAAAACTAAAAAAAAAAAAAAAAAAAAGACCATACCCTTTTATGTAATGATGTTTACTTTGAATTTATATTAGTTCACACAAACACTCCATCCATGCTTTTGTTCCGGCCCTCCGGTCCAGTTTAAGAACCCATTGTGGCCCTCGAGCCAAAAAGTTTGCCCACCCCTGCCCTAACTGATTAGTGGATTAATGATATTAAACATAACACCTGGCTCTTTCTACATGCCAAGCATTCTTCTAGACACGTTGCATACATTATCAATACTCAAGACAACCCATCTCCTGGATGAGGGTAGAGCTGGGATTTTAATCCCAGCAGCCAGGGACCCCCAATAGCTCAGCCCTGCCTTGTCCACTCACCAGTGACAACCCTTGGGTCGATGTCAAAGGTGTCATTGGCTGGGTCCACGTGGCCGCGGTGGTAGTACCGCTGGCAGAGGGCCAGGGCTGAGCCATTGGCCCAGGGGGTGCCCCCGCCCCGTACATATGCGTAGTGGCCCAGCGACACATTAGGGAGCATCAGGTACTGTAGGCAGAGAAGGGGAGGGTCCGTCAGCCCCACCACCACCACCTGCCCACCTGCCCACCTGCCCACCTGCCCTGGCTGCCTGCACCTGCCCTTGGCTGCCCGCACCTGGTCCACAGCATAGAAGATAGCCTGGTAGAGCTGCTCCCGCGTATAGGCGGCGAAGGTGTCGTCTGCCCCATCAGAGTAGCCCAGGAGGAAGAGGTGGCGGAAGGCAATGGTGTTCTCCTCGCGGAATGTCACTGCCAGCTGGTTGCTGAGCCCAAAAAGGATGAGCTGGTGGGATGACAGGGGGTTGACACTGCTGGGATGGGACCGCCCTCGATGCATGAATGGAGGAAGAGTAGAGGACCCACTCCATGCCCGCCATCTTCCATGCCCACCATTTGTTCCCAATGCATAGCACATAGTGGCACTCATATATCTCAGGGTAGCAACTAGTGTTCATGAAATGTTTACTTGATGCCAACTTCCATGTTAACCCAAACCTATAGGGTAAGTACCACAGTGCTGGAACCCTTACCAAGGGGAAATTAGAAGTACAGTCACATGTCCAAAGTCACAGCGCCCTAGGGCAGGGTCTGATTCATCTTGGGATCACAAGACCCCAGCACAGAGCCTGGCATGGGAAAGGGGGCAAGTATCTGTTCAGCCACTGGGTCAGTTCTCTTTGAGGGTCAGCATGGTGCCAGACTGCCTGGGTTCGAGTGCCAGCAAATCCCAGTGACTTTGGACCAATCCCTTCACCTCGCTGAGCCTCAGCTGCCTCATCTACAAAATAGGGGCATGTGTGAGGTTAAAAGAAGCTGCTCACCTAGAGCTCAGCGGGTTTTCTGACTTATTACTGCCATTGTTACAGTCATTATGCTGCCGCAGGGTCAGGACGAGGTTCTGACTCCCAGACTCTCCTTCAAGGAACACAGTGGCCACAGCACCATTCCTGCTGGGGCTCCCACAGGTCTCACCTGTACAGTGACTACCAAGATCTTAACCACTTGCAGCATCAGCTTAAAGGGCTTGCGGCCCTTGGCCCGAAACTTGTCACAGGGACTCATAAAGAAGTACTTGAGACGGCGGCGGAGGTCTTCTTCTTCCAGAGGGGCTGGAGGGGCCGGCGATGCCCCTGCCTGGGTCCCATACCCGGGGCTGGCGGTCAGGAGGTGCTCGGTCTCTGTGGGAATGGAAGAGAGCAGTGGGGACCGGACCCAGCCCGGCCTACCTCCCCAAAGGAAGGCAGATCTCACATCCTAGCCAAGAAAGAATTCTGGGAGATCTCAGAAAATCTGAAAACCTACGTTTTATGAATATATACAGCAGTGCTGCTCGGAGGTTGCAAATTCAAGTTTGGGACTCAAAAGGGCCTGAGTTGATACCTGACCCTGATGCTCACGGGCACGGACAGGGCACCCAGACTCTCTGGGCTCAAGTTCTCATTGGCAAAATGTGGCAATAGCATCTCTCACAGGAAGCTGAGGATTTGATGCTTACAAAGTCTTTATCACAGGGCTGGTAGTGTGGTAAGAATGTCAGGACATCCCACCATTATTCCTGTTGATCTGTGAGGAGAGAATGAATTGCTCCCACTGGCTTCTCACAGGGTACGCAAGGCTCCTGGGCACATCCCAACTCCAAACCCCAGGCATGAACATGGAACTGAGCTGCATTCTAGTATTTTCTGGAAAACCCTTCCCACTCATCATGACCTGATCTGTCCAGCTGACGCTCTCACAGCCACAGGCTTGGAGAAGGGAATGTCAATACGTAGGGCAATAAGGGAATGCATTTGCTGAAGACTCACTGTGCGTGGGCCAATGTTATTACAGCACTGCCCGTAAGTCAGTTTGTGAGCTAATATGGCATCTTCATTAAGGCTACCAGCTCCTGGAAACCACACAGCCCTAGGACCAAATCCCAGACCTGCCTCTTCTGGTCAGGGGACCCCAGGCACCTTCCTAAGTCTCAGTTCCCTCATCTGAAAAACGGAAAAAGCCTGGGCGCTGGGCTCAGTGGTTGAGCATCAACCCATGAACTAGGAGCTGGTCTTCCCGTCCCTGTCAGGCACATGCACGGGTTTTGGGCTCGATGCCCAGTAGGAGGCATGCAGGAGGCAGCCAATGATTCTCTCTCATTATTGATGTTTTATCTCTCTCTCCCTCTCCCTTTCTTTCTGAAATTAATTTTTTATAGTGGAAATTTCTTAAAAGTCTCCCCCTGAGGCCAAAACCCTGAGAATGCTTCCAGAATGGAGTGAGATAACGCAGCTCAGCTCGAATATCAGTAATTCTTCAGGAGACAGAGGCTATTCTAAGCACTGCTTGTTCCCTTCAATCCCCGCCAGCCTAAGAGGAAGGGCCAAGGTTTCCGCAACTGCTGGGGTCACAGCTGGTCACAGCAGCCCAGAACTGTCCCTGGCACCCCCACCACCACCCAACTGGGAGAACCCAGCTTCTTTCCAGGACCTGGCTGCCCCCCTGCCTGGCACTGCCACCAGGATGGCTGTGGCCACTGCCAGAACCTGTTCTGCAGGGAGGCCCAGCTCCTGACTGGTCCCGTCCCTTTGGAGTTTGGATGCTTTCGCAGTTGTCTACAAGAGAGCTGGATGGAAGCCAGAGGGCAGGCCGGCCTCTCTCTCTGGGTCATAGCTAACCCATCCCAGGCCCTACCAGTGAGACACCTTTCAGGGTATCCCGCTAGCTCTACAAGGGAAGATCAACAGCAGGGCCTTCCTCCAGGCTGCCCCAGGAGAGGTGGAGACTGAAGGGACTGGAGGCAGGGCACCCCACGCCTGCCTTCAGGAAAGCTGAGCTTCCGTGGGTTCGGAGATCTGAGAGAGAGTCAGACGCCGAGGCTCAAGGAGGCAATGCCCCAGTGCTCGGCCTGTGGTTAGAGTAGCGGAGCATCCACCTCCTGGATGGGGGAAGGAAATCCGGGGAGTCTCGTGCGGGATGGAGAAACCGGTGCCCGCCGAGTTCCTGCAAAGCTGAGCGGTCGCAGCCGAGGCTCAGAACGGGAGCCTCGCTGCCCGAGTCAGAGAAGCTGGCGGGGCCCGCTCGCGGTCGGAGTTCGGGACCTCCGAGCACAGCCTGGGTCCAGGAAGGCCGTCGGGAGCCCCGCCACTCCGTGTCGGGAAAGCTGGTGCCCGCCCGCCTCCCGGGTCCACGAGCCCAAATCCCCACCGCCCTAAGCTGCGAGGTCAGCACGGGAGTTCGGGCCAGGGAGACCGGTACTCCGCCGCCCCGAGTCGGGGCAGCGACCTCACCTGAGCCACCCCAGCCCCCGGGGGCTGCCATCCCGGGGCGGGGAGCGCCGGACGCCGGCGGGCGCGGCGGAGCAGCCAGGGCACCAGCGCCCGCCGCTGTCACTGCGGTCTCGCTCCCTCGCGGCGCCGCTTCAAACCCTTGCGCGTCAGGTGACTCGCGCCCGGTCACGTGCCCAGGGCGCCCTGGGAGGCACGTGACAGGATGCGACCCCAGAGCCCTGCGCCGAGACCGCGCCTGCCATCGCGGAGTGCGCGCGCACCCACGCGGCGCCGGGCGGCCGAGGGCGGTCGCGGGGCCCTAGCGCCGCCGGGCGAGCCAGATGCTGCAACATGGGCGGGCTCCCTGTCCTGCCTGCGTCCTGCCGGCATCTTGACTTCCATGTCCGCGATGTCCAGCGATGACCCTACATCTTTCTAAGGGTTGTTTCCCTCCATCCTCCCAGAAATTCCCTGATTGCTCTCAAATCCTTCCTCTTCGGCCCCTCTCATGACCTATCAGCAAATCCTATTTCACTTCCTAATTATATCCCAAATAGGCCCACTTGTTCTCACTTTTATAGCTCTCAGCCCAGAGTCCCACCACTCCTGGCCCGGACCACTGCAGCAACCTCCTCTCCGATCTTAGACTCCCACTCCCGACCCCTCCCATTACACCTCCATCAGCAGCCAGGCCGTCTTCAAAGAATAATTCCTATTAGTCCTTCCCCAGAACCTGCCGGCGACTTCCCGTTTCCCTGAGATGACAAACTCCCTGCAGCAACTTCCAGAGCCTTCTGGTCCGCCGCCACCTCCTCTCTTAGTTCATCTTTCTTTTTAACAAAAATTTATTGGTATTGATTTCAGAGAGGAAAGGAGAGGGAGATAGAAACATCAATGATGAGACAGAGCCCATAACCCGGGCCTGTGCCCTGACTGGGAATTGAACCATAACCTCCTGGTTCATAGGTTGATGCTCAACCACTGAGCCACATGGTCGGGCCCCCAGTTCATCTTTCAATGGCCCCAGAGCCTTTGAGCACTCTTGCCCTGGAGAATAATGGTTAAGAACATAGGCTGGGGGGTGGGGGCAGACAATTCCGGTTAAAATCTAGGCGCTGCCAACTGCCATTTCTTGTCTTCCAAAGAGCCCCTGAAAGTCCATGTGCCTCGGTTTCATCATTTGCCGAATGGGGATGCTCAACCATAGTTGCCTGCTTCATGGAGAAACTGCAAAAGCGTAGCACAGGCTGGGCAGTGCTGATGATTAAATTAGTGGTCCTTCCTGAGAAAGCTGTCCCCAAACTAAATCAGAGTCCTTTATACATTTAGAACGTACCAGACCATGTAATTACTGTTTAAATGTTTCCAAATGTGGTACCTGTGAGCTCTCAATAGATGTTTATTGAATGCATACATGAGCAACCTCCTTTGTCCAGTGGTGTACCTATAGTGTGGACTTCGAGGGGCAAGGGGTCAGTTAGGGGAACAGACAAGGCAGAACTTCCCCCATGGCTTCTTATCCGCCTCCATTATCAGCCCCCTAATTTCAGCATGCCGGACCCCACCATCAGATAAACCAAAGGGAAGGATGCTCTCCGACCACCTGCAGGGTAAGTCTGCTGCTAACGAAGGTGACCAGGTCTGGGGGAGCAAAGTGGTAACTGCTCGGATGGGGGACGCTGGGAAGCTTGGAGGATGTCAGGGGGGAGCCAGAACATTAGGATTCCGGATGTATGGCTGGCTCAGGCCACACCTTCCGTTTCGAGGAGCTATGCATTAAGGGAAAAAAACCGGAGAACCATGAAACAGAGCGAGCAGGCAGTGGGAAGATTTTACTAACTGCACAACACACAACTTCTCCAGGCCTCCATGGGTGATGGCACCCCTTTCAGCCGTCAGGCCCCAGCAGTGCCCCTCGCTCCTGCACCCTTTCAGGATTCTCACAGGTAGGGAGGGCTGAGCTGTCGTGGGCGGGAGGGCTGAGGTCAGGGCGGGACTCAGGGTTGGGGTTGGGGCTGGGCACAGGATCTGGGTCTGAGCTGTGACCGGATCCGTGGCCAGGGCTGGCCACAAGGTCAGGATTGGCATCATGACCAGGCTTAGCGTCAGAGGACTTGACAGGATCAGGGTTGAGGGTAGATTCAGAGCCAGGGCCCGGTTTAGGGCTGGGACTGGGGAGGGAGCCCAGCACAGAGCATGGGTCCGTGCCCAGGCCAGAGCTGGGGCCCAGGCCAGAACCAAGCACAGGGGCAGCATCAGGACCCGGGAGGGAGACCTGCCCAGGCCGCAACATCGAAGCAGGGCTAAGGCCCAGGCCAGTGGCAGCAGCTGTGGCTGCCGCAGCTGCCGCAGCTGCGCCCTCGTGCACCCTCTTGTGCTTGGTGAGGCTGGAAGCTTGGCCGAAGGCCTTGCCGCAGAGCTGGCAGCGGTAGGGGCGCTCTCCGGAATGCACGTGCAAGTGCTGCAGCAGCGCGGAGCTCTGCCCGAAGGCCTTGGAGCAGTGGGGACAGGCATAAGGCCGCTCGCCAGTGTGGATGCGCAGGTGGTGCTGCAGGTTGGAGCTCTGGCCAAACGCCTTGCCGCAGTGGGGACAGCGGTAGGGGCGCTCGGCCGTGTGCGTGCGCTGGTGCTGCAGCAGCGCCGAGCTCTGCCCGAAGGCCTTGCCGCACTGAGGGCACGGGTAGGGCCGCTCGCCCGTGTGCGTGCGGAGGTGCTTCAGCAGCGCCGAGCCCTGCCCGAAGCCCTTGGCGCACACCGGGCACTTGTGCGGCCGCGGGCCGCCGTGCGTGCGCAGGTGCTGCGCCAGCAGCGAGCCGTGCCCGAAGGCCTTGCCGCACACGGGGCAGTGGTGCGGCTTCTCGCCGCTGTGGCTGCTGCGGTGCTTGAGCAGCGTGGAGCGCCAGCCGAAGGCCTTGCCGCACGCTGCGCACTGGTAGGGCCGTGCGCCCGTGTGGATGCCCCGGTGCTGGGCCAGCGTGGCGCCGTGGCTGAACGATTTGCCGCAGTCGGGGCAGCGGTAGGGCTTCTCGCCGCTGTGGGTGCGGCGGTGCTGGCTCAGCCCCGAACTGCGCCGGAAGGCTCGCCCACAATCGGGGCAGGAGAAGGGCCGGGGCGGGCTGGCGGGTGCAGGGATCACCGCCGGGCTGGTGGCCAGGCCTTCCGGGGTGGCAGTAAGGCTGGAGGAGAGGGGGTCCAGGTCTGGGGCTTCTGGGGGACTGAGGGTGTCGCTGTTAGGGTCAAGGACCAGGGGCACAGGGCCAATGACGTCTGGATCGAGATCAAAACTTGAAGACATGGGGTCGAGATCTTGGGCATCCATGGCACCCGTCCCCAAGATGGAGCCTGGAGTTCCCGCGTCAGGGTCCAGATCATCAGAGACAGGCTCTAGCTCTTCATAGCCGGGGTCCACGTCTTCAGAGACAGAGTTGAGGTCCTCCAGGTCGGGCTCTGGGTCTTCGGGGCCAGGGTCCAGGTCTTCTGAGTCTGAGCCAAGCTCTTCGTAAGCAGGCCTCGGGCCTTTGTGGCCTGGGTTCCTGACCAGCACCGAGCGCCGCATCCCAGCTGTGGAGGTGCCAGCTGCTTCCAGGGCAGGATCTGCAGGGCGAGGACAGGGTGGGCAGAGGTAGGTTCTGGGGAGCAGGGGGTCTCTTTTAGAGCCTGGGCAGGGATGGGATAGGTGGCCAAGCTGTGCCCCCAAACCCGCTTCTGAGCATACACACGGATCCTTCTTGTTCTAGGCCGCAGGCAGATTGTGACTCGCCCTGGCTGGGGCCAGAGGAGAGACCCTGGTGGGACATGAGGGGCCCCTCCCTTCTCAGCCCCACACCTGGATGGAAGTCATGGGATCTGGCACTAGAGGCCTCCAGTGCCCAACTCCATGGCTCTGCCCCTCTCTCCATCCTGGACTCCTCCTCTGTGGGAAGCTTGGGTCCTGTAGAGAGAGAGTCCTGGGTTCCTACCCCTCATGGGGAAGGGGGTGGGTGTCCGGGATCCTGTGCTTGCTTCTAAGTACACGGCCTGAATTGTTGTCCCACAGTCAGAGGGGGCATATTTGGGAGTTTCTGGTGGAGTGGGGGACCTCTGGCTCAAGTACTAGAGATAAAGCATCCCGAACTTAGAAGCCTGTATCTGGGGGATGAAGGCGGGGGGGTGGGGGGGAGCAAACAACATCTGGTAGTGCTCTGGGGGCCTTGGGGGAGTGCAGGGGACCTGGCTCACTTCCTGGGGAAGAGACCGCCTGAATGCCAAGCCTCACAGTTCCGGAGCACCTGTGTTCTGTGTTCCCGAACGCCAGGTCCTGAAGCTGGCAGGTGGGGAATAACCTGTGGGCCCGTGGGATGGGGGGAGACCATGGATCCCAAAGTCGGGGCACCTGTTGCCCAACTGGATAGAAGATTCTGAATTCTAACCCCTAGCTGGGGGCTGCGCAGAAACAATACCCGTGGCCCCTCTGGGTGACTGGGGGACCCCTGAGCCAACTCCCAGGAGGAGGAGACTCCTGAGTGCCCGGCGGGTATGGGGAAGTGTGTCAGGACACTTTTGTCCCTTCGGGGAGGAAAGATCCATAGGGAAAGGGGTGGAGAAACGACAGCAGGGACCCTGCTGGGAGCAGGGGGAGCTCGAGATGACCTGGTGGGAGGTGATGCCTTACGCTACCCACCCGTGGCTGGGTATTGGGGGAGGCTCTCCTGGGGAGGGAGACATCCTGGCCATAACCCATAGCTGGGGCTGGGTAAGCAAGTGCGGTGCAGAGTTCCTGGATCACCCCCTCTACCCAGAGCCCCAGGTGGGCAGGTGGGGGGACAACGCCCAGGTCCCTCCTGGGTTCCTGGAGCACCCCCCGGGGAAGTGGCTTCGGACGCTGGGCTCCCAGCCTGGAGAGTGAGGAACAATAGCCGGGTCCCTCTACGGGAAGGGCCGGCGGAACTCCCAGCCCGGCCCGGGGCGGGGGAACAATGCCTGGGCCCTGCTGGGTTTCGGGGCAGAGGGTCCGGATCGCCTCGGGAGGAGGGGCGCCCTGAACTCCCGGCCCACAGCGGGGTGCCCCATCCTTCCCTCCCGAAGGCGCCCAGCTCGGCCGGGCCCTCCCTGGGCCGCAGCGCTGGTCTGGGCGCGCTAGGCCCGCGGGCGGCCGGCCCCTCGCACGGGGCCACGACCCTGCTCTCCGGGCCCGGGCGGCGGCGTGCGCGGCGGGGGCGCACCGCGGGGCCGCCCCCCGCACCGGGGTCCCGGCCCACCCCACCCGGGCCCTCGTCCGCCGACCCGCTCGCGGGGACACTCACCCGGCGCCCCTCGCCCCTGCCCGGCCCGCCGCTCCCGCCGGCGCCCCCGGGGCCCGCAGCCAGCGCCCCGCCCGCTCGCCCGCCGGCGGCCCCCTCGGCCCAGCGGCCCCGCCAGGCGCTCCCGGGGATCGAGGGGGGCCGGCCGCGGGCCGCAGCGGGAGCTGCTGGGACTTGTAGTTCTCCCGCGCCCGCCCGGCCTCGCCCCCCGCCCCGCCAGCCTTTGTCCCGACCCGCCTGCCAGCCCGTGGCCGGCCCGCTCCTGTGCCGGCCTCCCCGTCCCCGTCCCCGTCCCCGTCCCCGTCCCGCCTCTTTCTCCATCCCGTCCCTGCCCATCCCCGCCGTCTATCTCTCTTCCTTTCTCTGCGTCTCCATTTCCATCAGTTTGCCTCTGTGCCCCTCTCTCTCCCGCTCCTACCTCTGTCTCTAATTCTGTCTTTGTTCAAAAAGCACCATTTTGTCTCTCTCAAGACTGGCAACGCACACAAGCATAATCAAGGCTCCGAGAAGCCCTGCAATTTACAAACTTCTTTATCTTTGCTTAATCCAGCGTTTCCCTAAGGCCCCGAGGAGGAGTTGGAGAGTCTGTCCCTGGGTGTCTCCCGCTTCCTACCCAGTCAGGGGCCGCTCTGCTGTCACCCTGAGCCCGACTCTCCCTGGAGTGATGATCTCTGGGAGAAGCCGGGGCCGAGACCGGGAAGGACGGAGGCAGCTTTACCTGGAGACAAAGATCCCCGAGAAGAGGCAACCAAAGAGCTCGGCTGCAGCTGGGCCGCGATGTTCTTCACGGAACATAAACAGTCACAGAGCATAAACACAGCGTACGAGGCCACGCTGTGACCACGTCTGCGCCAAGCCAGAGACAGCACTCCAGCCACAGAAATGCACACACAGCCCCTCCTGCCCCGCAGACAGCTCCGCTTCTGAGATCACCACCACCCATCTGCTCCCTGCTTCCTGACGGCTCCGAGGATGGCTTCTGCGCTCTTCCACTCTCCTCAAAACTACCCAGCACATGTCCCGATCCCATAAGATGCCCGCCTGCCCCCAGCTCGCTCCTACAGACGCGCTCCGTGGTTCCCCAGTGTGTGGTTTCGTCGCTGGGGCAAACTAAACAAGCCTTGAGCACAGGTGTGCTTCTGACGGTCTTGGCCCGGTGAATGTTGACACCACCTACCCTTGAATACAGCCTTGAGCAAATCAGGACTCTAGCAGCTGTCTCTCTTCCTTCCTGAACCTTCTAGATCTGCGCTTGCCTGTGGCGGGAGACCTGCTTTTCACTTCTTTGTGGAAAAGCCTGCAGCAGATCTGAGAGCCCTGAGACTGCAATTGGATTATGTTGCTGGTTCTTCATCCTGCCACCTCCTGCATGACCCTAGTGCAAATACTACTTGTAATGCCAGCTATTGTTTCTGTCTGCTTAGTAGCTCCACCAGCACCTTGCTTTCCCTCTGTGGGTCCCCCTCCACTTCTCCAGATGGGCCCGGATCTAACACAACCACCCCAGTGCCATGTGACCTACACTTATCAAAGAACCCCATCCCCTGGCCACAATAATTAGGTCTGGGATGAGGACATGACTTTGGAGGGTCTCATTCTCCTGGGATTATAAGCTTTATACAGAGCCTCATTCTGCCTGCAGTCATCTTCCTTCGCTGTCTGCAAGGATAGTCTGCAGACTGAAGCCAATCTCCACCGGACGTAAAGGTGAGACACAGCTCTGGCTATATTGGTTCAGCTCTTGGTGATAACCACGCCTGAAGCCAGAAGCCCTCATTCTTTATTATGAGCCAACACATTTCCTGGATTTTTGAGCTACTTTTACTGGGTTTCTGTCCCTTGCATCTCTGACAGTCTTGACTAATTTAGAAATTAGTACCTGGAAAGGGGAGAGTATTAAAGGAAATAAAATGTGAACTTGGCCGAGCAGAGGTGACCTGCCTCTAGCCTGGCCGACTGGTGCTAATGGCCTCCTATATAATAAAAGGGTAATATGCAAATCAACCAAACGGCTGAACGACCGGTCGCTATGACACGCACTGACCACCAGGGGCAGACATTCAACGCAGGAGCTGCCCCCTGGTGGTCAGTGCACTCCCACAGTGGGAGCGTCCCTCAGCCAGAAGCCGGCTGACGGGGAGGAAGACTAAGCAGTCAGTCAGACATCCCCTGAGGGATCCCAGACTGCAAAAGGGCGCAGGCTGGGCTGAGGGACCCTCCCCACCCCTAGTGCACGAATGCCATGCACTCGTGCACTGGGCCTCTAATACATATATATTCACTGTAAAGGGAATAGGGCTTCCAAGATCTGTGCATTGCACAACCTGCCCAGGTGTATATGGCATCCCTGTAGAATAGTCCTCCTCAGGAAACGAAATCTCCGTTATGTGAAAGAAAAATAGCTGATTAAATTGTTGCTATTTTGTCTTGGGACTCTACCCATGTGTTCTCCGAGACTGAGGCTTATGGGCTTTGGAGGAAAATATCAGGATGCTGTAATATAAACAGAGATTAGCATCTACACAATCTTGTGAGAATGCCAGAGCTGAATTCTCTGCCCCCAACTAAAAGAGGAAGTTAGTAATGAGGTAGGAAGTAAAGTTGGGACTATCAGAGGACTGGGTGGAGGTTCTCAAACACTGAGCACTCCCTGTCTGTACAGGAAGCAGTCACCCTCCCAGGGAAGAGCCCACTAGCTGTCTTTCCACCGTCCAGGCCAGCCGTGGGCAAACTACGGCCCGTTTGAAATGAATAAAACTAAAAAAAAAAAAAAGACCGTACCCTTTTATGTAATGATGTTTACTTTGAATTTATATTAGTTCACACAAACACTCCATCCATGCTTTTGTTCCGGCCCTCCGGTCCAGTTTAAGAACCTACTGTGGCCCTCGAGTCAAAAAGCTTGCCCACCCCTGGTCCAGACTGTAACCTGGGGTAAGACAGAGCTTAAGGGGTGTGGGCAGGCTCAGGTCTGTGTCTAGAGACAGAATCCAGCAAGGTTGGGCTCCACACTCAGAGATCCTCGGGTGGACTGGGGAACCAAATCGCTCTGGGTGGGTTAGCAGCTGGGCCTTCCAATCTCAGCTGTGAAGTTTGTGCTGTGCACGTGACTCCAGTAGGCCAATCAGAGTGTTCCTTAAATTCCAATATGAGTTGGGAGGGGGAGATGACCCTGTTTCCGTTGGGGCTTTAATTCTAAGGACCTGTGGTACCTGGGTTTGTTTGTGTGTGTGTGTGTGTGTGTGTGTGTGTGTGTGTGTGTGTGTGTGTGTGTTTGTTTTTTGTTTGTTTGGGGGTGTTTTTTTTTTTTTGCCACCTGCTTGTTGTTAAATTGTGAGGAAGAGTCCTGATGTGGATCCAGCATGTCTGATGTTAGACCTACTTCCAGACTTTCTTGATTCTAAGTTAATAAAATCCCTTTCCACTTGAGCTAGAGCTGGGTTTTTGTCACTTGCAACAAAAATGACTTAAGACATTAAATTTAGGCACCATTTGTGGAGCTGCAGCGAGGGGTGGGCCCTGTCCTAAGCATGGACTGAGCACAGTTTACTTGACCCTTGTGACCACTCTGTGAAGGAAGATATTGCCACCCCCAGGCTACCAGTGAGCAGCGAGGGCCAGCACGAAGGCGCTTGTTGAAGGACAGAAATGCAGGTCAGGGGAAGGTCTGAACTCTGCTGCTCAGTGATGCTTCCCATGGACAAAGTTGTTTTCCTTTATATTCCGTCCTCTTCACCTTATTTCATAAACCTTTTTGGGTTTTGTCGTTCGCAGGAAATGCCTTTTTTAGAAGGTGAGTAGGATATAGGAGGGATCGACACAAAGTACTGTACACCCAGAATCATCAAGATGTTGTGTCTTTCTGCACTGATCGAATATTTCCAGTAAGGTTTCTTTTCTTTCTTGGCAACCCATCCTGGGACTGGTCAGTGTCGTTATTAAAAATTGCTTCAAGGTTTGCTGAAATCTGTCTCCTTGTAAGTCCTACCCGGTGAAGGTAGTTTCTCACCCGGTGTCTGGGATGCTTTAAGGCATTCCTAGAACCAGGCAGGAGCACACAAAAATTCTGTAACTGGAGCTGCATGGAACTGAACACCAAGGCAAGCTTTCAGAGTGTCTGGCAGGCAAGGCAAGAAGGGAAAGCCTTTTCGATCAGATAATCTGGTCAAGAAGCAGGCCAGCTCCATCAGGAGGACCTGATTGGTCCTGGGAATCGTTGTACGGTGAATTTATTGCAATAGTGCTCAACAGGGCAACTCTCCCCCAGGGGACATTTGGCAATATCCGGAGACTTTTTTGGTTGTCACAACTGGTGGGGGGAGAGGGAGTGTGCTAACGGCATGGAATTGTTAAAGGTCAGGGAGGAGGCTGAACATGTCCTCTGACAACAAAGAATGATCTTGTCCATTTGTCAGTAGTGCCAAGAAAGCAGCTCTGGTTTATCATGGAGCAAGTCATAAGCGTGCCACCTTGTCTCTGGAAGCTGCTCTCCTTTCATTTCTGTGGCAATGACAACACAGCCCCACAGAATTGCTGCCTACAGGGAAGGGGCTCCTGGCTGGGCTTGGGGGTGGCTTTTAATAGCCCATGCGCTTGAGGGCCTTGGTCTTTTTTTTTTTATCCTCACCCGAGGATATGTTTATTGATTTGAGAGAGGAAGGGAGACAGAGAACCATTGATCTGTTGCCTCCCATATGTGCCCCAATCTGGGATCAAACCCAAAATCTAGGTATATGTACTGACCAGGTATTGAACCCTCAACCTTTTGATGTATAGGCTGACACTCTGACCAACTGACCCACCCAGCCAGGGCAGGAGGGCCTTGGTCTTTTGAAGATCTGACTACAGGGTCAGGGAGTCATATTCATTATTAAAAGGGTAATATGCTAATTAGACCAGACGTCATTCCAGACGTTTTTCCTGATGAAGCCAGGGCCGGAGGGAAGCCAGCCTGGGTCCCAGGTGCCTGCAGGCGGCCAGAGGAGGGAAGCCCGGGTCCCTGGTGCTGGAGGGAAGCTGGTGCCGGCAGCTGGGGTAAGGAAGGCCTACTTTTGCATGAATTTTCATGCATCGAGCCTCTAGTCCTATCTAATAAAAGAGAAACGTGGTAATTAGCCATACGTCCGCTACCCTTCCCATTGGCTAATCAGGGCAATATGCAAATTAACTTCCAGCCAA